TGGTCACTTGAGTGGCCGCTTATTCTTTAACAAGATTTCCAGAAAATACAAGGCAGAAACTAATTATCCAATTACAGCAAAGGTGAGGGCAAAAACCGCCCGCAAAAAGAAAGTTGACAACTTCTCTCCTCCAAAACTAGGGAGGGAGTGGGAGGGGAAAAAATCTTTGCACACGGTGGTGTGAAGACAAAGTGGCTTGTAACCTAGCCTGTTTCAACTTATATATCACCCTGAACATCACGTCCCGGATGTAACCACTATTCACATGATCTAAACTTAAAATCTGCCCAGGATAGCTAAGCAGGACGCATAAAAACATTTACTCCCTCTCCGGGAGTAAATCGCCTTTTCTTTAATAGAATTCGATAATCAATAAGCAAAAGAGTTCTAAAAAGTGGTTTTTCTTCTTAAACGTGGGATTGTGAGGTTTTAGGGTGAAAAAACCTTGCGGTAAATCACTTACCTCTGGAGCGTGGTCTAGCCGTTTAATGTTGAACCTCAAACCGCAAACCTGACGGCAAGGCCCTGGTCACGTGACTTCTTGACGCTCGCAGTTCACGGGAAATGCCGAAAAACCTCAATCTTAAGGTCTCTAAAGATAGTACTTTCATTTTTATTTGTTCCTTTTTTTTTATACAACAACTCTTTATTTCATACTTACATACAAAGGAAAAATTACAAAAAATTGTAGAAAACTAGAAAAAAAACAAACAAACAAACAGGACAGTTAAAGTATTAAATCTTTTAACCTACAGAGCGTCACCTACAGTTCACTTCCACAGAATAGTACATTCGTTTAAAGAGGGGGGGTTTTTAATGGAGACCATTTCTTTTTAAAAGTGTCTAAAGAATTATGGTCTTTTGCAATTTGCCTTTCTATTTCCACGGTACGTTGAACTGTTTGTATGTACATTTGGACATTTGGGCGCATATATCTTTGTTTACTCAAAAACTGGGTTCTTCTCAATATAATTTAAGTTGGACCAGTATTCTATATCTCTTTAAAAAAAGGGGTCTTTTATTTTCAGCTGTGATGCACCTTTCTGCTTTAAATTGCACAGGAACAATGATTTCCCGCCGTATCTCTCCAAGTAGTAATCGAAAAAAGCTTTCCATTTACCTTTGTTCTCTGTGTTTAGGTAGCTTTGAACCCATTTCGTTTTCAATGATGCATTAAAACTTTGTATATCAATCAAAAGATAGTAATTTTAAGCGTGACGAAGCAATTTCCCCTGTTTAAACAAAGATCGCGTCTTAATCCTATTTGTAATCACGACTAAGAGACGGGAATTAATGGGTGTGCAGCTCGAACTGTGAGCCTGAGGGTTTATTGCCGTCCAAATAACATACAAAGTTAAACATCATAACTAAAGAATGGTATACAAATATTCCTAAATAAGGTCACTCAGGCTTAACTATTCACCTGCGCTGCCTGATACGAAAACCCATAAACCCAATGGGAAAAAAATGGGAACGTATTCCCCAACCAATGCGGTCGCACGACTTCTTGGGGTTAAAGATAATAAATCAATCGATAGATGAATAAAGTAAGATATAAAAATAAAAGTCGATAGTTCGAGAGTTCAGATGAATACAGCTGTCAAGACCTTATATACCTGACAACAATAGAGTCAATTAACGCCATAGCGGCTCACGTGCGTTCATATCAATAGGAAAGTATTTACATTCTCTGTCACTGCCACGATGTTTAGCTCGCCGAATGTAAACACATTATGTCTTAGGTCTATGTCAAATGGATGTGTGAAACGGGATCAGGTGTCCAGTTTTAAAGACGTGTAGTCCGTGCCGTAGAAGAGACGGAAAGACCGACTCTCAACAGGCAGCCGTTATATATTTGTGGCAATTGCGATGTATTCAGAGTACCTCTTTCGAATCAGCCAACAGTCCAAGCAGACGGCGTTCAAATTACCTCCAGTCATTCTAAGACCCAGGCGCACGCCATCGACTAACAATACGTACTGTTACCTATCAACAGAAACCGTCCTGGAAAGGGCATGACTATAATATCAATATGTAAATATAAACACGTTTCAAATCGTCACTAAAATTTAAACTTTGACAGGCTCTTTAATGTACACTAGAGGTTACGATATTGAACTATTTTGCTTTTATTGTTAGTGTATCCAATGTAATATATTGTAAAAAAGGATAATGGGTTACATGGACCACACGTAGTGAGAAGCAGGTCTTTGATGCGAGAGGTGACCCATTCTGAATTTTAAATTAATAATGTTTTGATCTGAAAGTTGACAAAGTACAATTCGTTTATCGTTTGACAGTCTAATAACGACTATATAGTCATAAAAATATATTTTTTTGACGTTGATCAATAATTGGTCTTTTTCAGAATAAAACCTGTCTTCCTCGTTCGCAGCTGAGCGCTTCTCAGCGGATAAACAGCAGCATTCATTTCCTAACAATATTTCAAATAGAGTGGTAAATGACGAAGTAGGTGCTTATCGAATCTGCACCTTTATTTTAAAGCATCTTACACTTAACTTTTGAGAATGCTCTCCTATGCGATTCCTCTTTACTTATGCTTGATCTCAAGTAAGGCTTTATCAACAACAAAAACATCGTTCCCAGGGCCAATTTTTACCAAGGAAAACTCGAGATTAACGGGATACTCTTTTAAATGGCATGTCAGCCCCAGCCAGATATCATGCACTCAAGCTTGCCTCACGAACCCAAGATGATACTCAACAAACTTCAAAGAAACCGGAGTACATGGTGCCAGACAAGAAGGCACGTGTGAGTTGAATACTGAAAGCCCATTGGATATGATAAGTTTGGAAAAGGATTTACATTATGAATTTGGAAGTTTGTACGCTCGATACTCAAGAGACAACATTGTGAGTTTGATACTTTTCTTTCATTCCTTATTCTTGTCCCTTTTTTACCTTTTCTTTTTATTTGAGCGTCATTTTAGGGCCCTTTACCTTTCTCTAAGATGATTTTGGCCTTAGAGAAAGGCAAAGTCTCGGTGATGCAAATGATCTAGCCACTCTGCGGGGTTCAGAACGTAAAGTTATTATGAATCACAGCTGTTTGTACTTTTTCAAACTTATATTCTGTAGTTCCATAAAAGTGGAAGCCATAGGTTTGCTTACCCCTCACAGCTACATGGGTAGTATTACAGCGGGTCTATGATGGTCTTAGATTCTTATTGTTAGGGTGAAGAATTTGTAACAGTATAGCTCTGGATCTAACCTGAGAATCAACAAATTGACCGTTTTGCATAGTTTTTATTTATCACCTGTGTGTCCCAGGCATTATTTAAGTTTTACTCTTTTCATTTCGAGTACCTCAGTCATTCTTGGTCTCATTTTCCGGCAGCAATTACACATTATATCAGTTTTAAACCACATAAATTTATGTTAGTGGAACTTTAATGATCGCTGGGCACATAATCTGTAATGCACACAATTATTTTCTTTATATTGGCCACTCTCATCGATTCCATTTTAAAAAAGGATAGAGTAAATTCGCAGTAATAGGGAGATTTTCATTTATGGAGTTAAACGCACGAACTTTATTGCAAAAAATAATCCCAGTAATCTGCAGAAACTCGATCGCCTAGAACATCACCTGACTTTCATTAAAGCAACTCTTTTTCTTAAACTCACCTAGTTTCTATTTCAAAAGAGAAGGAATATAAACAAGATCAGTTATTCACAACCGGTGTAGGTTGACAAGAGGGCTAAATGAAAATGGCACATATCGGAAATACTCTGAATAGGAAATTAAATTATTCGGTGTTTTTTCCTTCCAAATTTTAATGAAACCTTTTTTGTCACCCGCTCAGAACTCACAACCACGCAGATATCACAACCACGAACCCCATCTAAAATTTGACTCATTATGCATTAAGACATCTATTCAATATAATTTCCATTGAGGAGGTTAGAAATTAAGGCTTTCTGTCGCAAACCTTTTTTTCCAATCCATCCACGAACACTCAAATACGCACAGACGGGTCACACAGTCGGGCCTAAAACAAAAAAGTATAAATACATGCATCTTGAAGTATATCTGGAAACCAAAACAAAGATATATAACAACCTTTTTGCCACAATGACTTTCTAAAAGGTAATTAAAGGGTAAATGAAAGGGTGAAAATTAGGGACCATTTCAGTACAAAAGTTTCAAATGCTCATTTAATATTTGCTCCATTAAAGTGACAAAGAAAATAGAGTCGAAAACATTCTGTAGTTCCGTAAATATAATTTCTGACTAGAATGCAGAATTTAAGTGATAAACGTGAAATTCAGCCCTTTTACTGTATGTCAGTTTGCTTCAAAATCGCGATGATAAATGCTCTTTTTTATCACGGATTTTTTAAGTGGATAAGAAAAAGGAAAACAACTCTTTGACTTTCATAACTAATAAATTTAGTTTAATTATCTTAATTTAAAAAAAAACTGCGTTTGAACCAGTCAAAATAGACGCCGTATTTGAATTAAGATTTGTTTAGTTTGACTAGAATCTAAAACTTTAACTGAAATAGTTTTCCTTTTTTTTTAGCCGATGAGAAGCTGAAAAAAAATATATATCATTCTGCCCTCGCTCTGCGGTAGTCAGGGGTTAAAGACTAAAAGAATATTTTCTATCCAAATTAAATCCGTCCTGCTTTCAAAAAATAATTAACTTGGAAAAAAATTAGAAAAATTAGACATTTTTGATGATTGTGACGCTGTCGCCATTTAGCTAGCTCGCCTGTATTCTGCACGTCGTTAAAGGAGCCGTGTCACATGCATTGCGCATGCTCAATTCTTTGAAAAGTGTTCAGCCCAACAAGAAATCAAACTGACGCGAATCCTCACAAATCAAGTAAAAATCTGTTTCCATCGTCGCTAATCGGTGTTCGTTTTGTATTTTATCTATATACTTAAATTATTTAGACATAAGGCTTTCGTGTTACAGTAATTTTTTGGAGAATTGTGGAAATCCTAAGCGCTATTTAGCGCTCCAAGCGAAGGATGTCGGCTGGAGGCAGTAAACGCTACGGCAGTGGCCGTAGGGTCTTGTCACCTGGAAGCTTTGTTAGGAGCATAGAGAAGAGATCTGACTCTCGGAGTTCGTGGCTCAAGTCCCATGGAAGGATTTACGTCTGCCGTGACATTCTGGACACATTTAAAACGCTGAAAGCTCAGTGTGTCTTCTCCACCGACACTGCTTTGTTGCAGCATTTGTTGTCGTTTGAGATGCGAAGGCAACAAAGGTGAGAAAATAAGACTTCTACATTTATATTGCTTTTTAGTCTAAGCTGCAACGTCGAATCTAACTACCTATTAAATATTACTGTATTTTAACAGTTTAAAAGCCAAGCAAGCCATGAAGAAGAGTACGGAAGAGTCAAGTGCAGTACAACAACCCCAAGCAGGTAAGATGCACAAGATCGATCTGGAATCCCTGTTGAGGGATGTGAGCAGTGCATGTGGCCGGAACATTTATGGACACAGTCCATCGGGATTAATTCTGCTTTCATTGAAATAAAAGTTATAATATTTTGTATATTGTTTTGCAGATGATTCTAATTTCCACACCTCGACCCCTGTGAAAAGAGGCCAGTATGACGGTTCTGTCATTGCTCCACCAGTGGAAAGTCCAGTTGCTGGAATGGCTGGTGACAATAGGTAGGTTGTCATTTCGGTATTGATTTTTTGTTTCCATATTTCACATATCTGTCTCGGACATAACGGTGAAGGAGCAATTTGAAGTTCTTCCTGTGATAAAAATTTTAGATGCATCAGGTTTTCATTGAGTGAATGTCTGAACATTCAATAAATCATGATGGATGAGGAAGAAAGTTTTAGCAACTATTCTTTCAAGTAGTTCAGTCTGGTATTTCCCTTTGGTTTTTTTCTTTATTTATTTATTTTTGTGCATGAAAACCTCTGTTAGCAAGGTACAACAGTACTTTTAGAGAGATGTTTATTGTAAATCTGCTGCACCTTTTCCACAGTGACATTGACATCACAGGCACCGACCACTCTGAGGTCAACTCAAATAGACAGTAGCAGCAACTCTTCTGCGACAGATTCGTCTGCAGAAAGTGAAGATGACAACTGCTTCTTGTAAGTATGAAAAAAGCACGTTGATCTTCCCAATAATTTGGAAAGGTGGTGTTATGATCATTAGGTTGTGCTTTTCTTGTCAACTTTTTTCTCATCAATTGAACCAAACCATCAATGGGTTAGCTGTGTTGTCATTTCCATATTCTTACCAAAATTTCTGCTGTTATTTACAACTCATGCTTTTTGCCTATGGGTTTTCAATGCTTTCTATTTATCAATGAACTCAAGTAGTTTACTTTGTATTTTGTAAACATACTAAACTATTTTCCTTGTATTCTAGCTGATGCTTTTAGACAGATATTCCACTCACTTGATGTCTGGCATAAGTCAAAAGGAATCCGGAAGTGTCTTTTAAATGTGAGTTAGAGTTGATATTATATTAATTTTGCAGTGGCCACAAAGAACAAATTTAATGTAATTCTTTCTAATATGTGACTCTGTCCCATGTATTGGCAAGACTCATTCCTATAAATAGAACATAAACATACATTGTGTTGTCACTTGTAAATACGCCCATGTAGTATACTTCACTGTTGTATATTTCCAGGGTAATCAAATCATATCTTTAACCAATGGGCCAGAAATGGACTAAGAAATGTTGTTAACATAATCTGTAGAGAATTAAATCCTCAAAGTTTGACAATGATGATTGGACTGTCGATGTAGGTTTATTTTTTTGAGTCGTTGCATTTATCTCTGCCAGAGAGAAAAATTTAAGGCTTGTTATTGATCTTCTGTAGGTGGGAAGTGCAAAGGGGATGGATAAAGTGGCCCTTTGGTCTGACCACATTGTTAGACACTTTTGGCACTGTTGCAGTCTGGCATCTGAAGTCGAAGGCAATGACCTAGAAGCTCTGAAGATATTGAAGGTAATTCCAATTTATCATCTTTTTTAAAGTAATTAATAACAGGGCTGTCGGTAAGAGGTGATGGGTCTATGTGGCCCCCAACTACACTCAAAGGAAAATAGAAGAAAAATGGAACCAAACGAAACCCCCCGTTGTTTGATTCTCTGCCTACTTATTTTATGTACCAAGCAACTTGAAATCTTAGTGACAGCTCTGAATCAATTTTCAAAGACTTTTTTGAAAATTATCACATTATATTATATCAGGCTGTAAAAACTTTGTTTCTTCACAATGTTTTAGGGTCTGTTTACATGGAGGTGGGGGACCTTGGATAGGTGAGGTAAAATGTGGTGGGTCACCCCGTCTGTCAAATTAAAATGAGATATTATATGGACAAGCGGGATACCCCACCAAAGCGGGTTACCTCACCTACATGGGGTTCCCTACCTCCATGTAAACAGACCCTATGTCATTATCATCTTGTTATATCTATTTCAATGAAATTTTACTATTATGAAATCAGGATACCTGGATCTCACTATTACACCATGTGTGCAATCAACATGAGTGAGCTGATGGCCATTGTGACCACGAGCCAATCACTGAGGAAAACCACCAGCTTCCATGGTTTGACAGGAGATCCAAAGAGTTTGAGGCACTGCAAAAAATTATCCTGGATCCTGACCTTCTTGAAAGTTTCAAGTACTACACCAGATTCAGGTATATAAGGGGAACCCTGTTTTCATAAGAAAGACTAAATATATACTTATTTCAATACGTTGGTTTATTCAAATATAATGTTTATGGATGATTGTTATGGTGCTCAAAGAAAAAATATTTTGCTTTGTATTCCTGTCTGCTTGGTCCTTGGCAAAAGAGATGTAGGGGGGAAACTTAAAAGAATAATGTGTTAATGAATACTATTTCAATAACTCTGAGCAGCCCCATTCCTTAAACTAAGCTCAGTAGTGTTAACGTTGTCAGGCTTAGGCAAGGGTTTATTTTTTATTGCCACTGTGAACCTTGTGAAAACCTTCTTAAGGTGTTGGCCAGCCCCTAAATGCCTTTCTATGTCAAGCTCAATTCATTGTCCTTTTTTAATTATTACATGTATATTTAACCATGTTTTTCAAAAATATTTATTTTAGTTTTAGGCATACAGGCGCATTAGAATGAGCCAACTCTCTGTCATTGATGTATGCCAGCAAGAGAATTTCCTACACGTAAGTAACGACACTTCATAGTTTTAAAAGTTCATAGTATTTATATTATCTGTAGGGTATAGCGAAGGGGAGCTCAAATATTGTTGTATACTTCAAAAAATTGCACTGTGTGAACAAATATCTCATGGAACACTGTCTATTTTGATCAATTGTTCTTTTTAGGAAGAAAGTCTACAAAGCAAGAAAACAATTAGCTGCCATTGACTGGAACTATCACCTCGATATTCCTGAACAAGAAGATGTGCTAGGCGAGGTTGCTGTGACCCGGAAGTACAACCAAAGACTATGGTTATATTTGGATGCTTCTGGCTAAAGTGTTTCGTCTACATGTGGAGGATAATGAAAATATGCAGAGGGCCGTCCCAATGGAACCTGATGACCCAAGGAGGATAGCCCCTACAGTTGCTGTGGTGCCACCCCCACCTTCACGCGAGCTCTTTATTCAGCACAGCAGCAGGTTTAAGAAAAACTAGGAAACACGATGTAAAATATGTAATAAATATGCAACATTTATGTATTCATTTGCAGTGTAAGAAAATATTCATCAAAGAAGGACTGTCATGTATGATGCACAACAAGCAACAGTGATGTTTTTGACAATAAATTGACAATAAATATAACCTATGATAATTGTTTAATAATTTTAATCCACAATATGTGAAACTAAATAATGCAAAAGTTAACCGAAGACAAAGGATTGGTCAGTAAATGTGAATACTGGAGTAGGTTGGTCCTTATTGAACTAACTGTTGGAATCCATTTTTGTGAGTCTAATTATCCATATTATAAAATTTGCTTGCACTGCCACAATACAAATACAGCTGTAATGCTATTGTTTTCATGGGGTAATATTCACAGGGGTACTCAATCCAGGACAACTTTTTTTTTAGGGGGGTGGGGTTGGGGGTATGGCATGACGTTGAACAAACCCACTGCAATTAAAAATTCCTTGTAGAAACCTATCAAAAAGTTATTTCCATTTTAGCGAGGTTTGAACCCCATGTACACCCCAGTTGAGGAAGGGTAGTGCTCTCGAATTTTCCATACACAGCATGAAGGGCATACCCTTCTTTTGTGTTTTCCAAGGTAGCCATATTCTTCAATTATATAACGACGATAGGCAGCCTTTTGGAAGGCTCTGCTGCTATTATCTTGACGGTCGTTTCTGATATCCCCTGAACACTTTATACTTAATTGTAAATAATCAGGGTCCAGGCATAGCTTGCGAAAGCATGCGCTAAGTGAGACACAGTCTCTAGAATTACAGCACCGGTTCTCAACCTCCTGCGACATTCTGCGGCAAAGTCCACATTTGCACCACTCAGGCACTGGTTCACTTGACCTTGCCATAGATGCTGTTGGCGGTGGCCTGAAAGATGAGGGCCCACCTGAAGTTGATGTTCCAGATATGCTCGAGGGGGTGGGCTGGGGTGGATGCAGGTGTAGATTGGGCGGGGTTCGGTGGTGCTGGACTTGACACTTCTGGGGGGATAGAGAAAGGGAAGATGGGAGAGCGGCATCATCATTCTCATCTTCTGGGTCCTCCTGGATAAGAAGCATATCTATATAGTCCATGCTGCCCACTCCCCTCTGTAGAGCTCTTGTAGCAAGTTTTTTTGCTAGGTCCTCATCCAGGGTTTGGATAAACTCCTGTGAGGTTGAAAAATAGTGCAATAATTTGTTAGAGTAGCTGGACAATTACTTTTTATCACATTCTGTCGAAGCTTGACACCTAGATTCTTTTAAGAGCGTAATCGACGAGAAAATAATAAATAAAAAGGGGACTTCCCTAAGAAATCTTGCACACCTCAGAACATGACACACAAACGAGACACTAAAACAAAAGACAATTTGCTCCATTTAGGGGAAGCAACGATCAGCGACTTGTACAAGGGAAACTTACTAGATAAAGGAATAGCAGATGAGATTTTTGAAGGACTATCTTTTGTGCCATCGACTATGAATTATAATTCAGTATTGTACCTTCACTCGTCGATTTTCCATGTCCCGTTCTTGCTCCTCCGTAAGACCATTATCCGTTTGGCCTGACACGAATCCCCATCCTTGGGATGCCACGGATGCAGCCTTCACATGATAAAAAAGAAATCGCAAACTGTACTAGTACTTCCTACTAGCGAATTTTAGACCTCAACCGAGCCTTGTTTCCCCACCTCTCTGTTCTTGCACGGCTTTCGTCGACTGAACCAACAGGCCTCTCCGCAGAAGCGACCGGCTGTTTTGCAAGGACATCCAGTCCTTTTTCTTCCTGCTTTCGCAGAGCAAGTGCTTGTACACTGGCAAGAGTTAGGGACGTTGTCCTGCGCAAACGGGAAGGAAATAATGTTGACTAGATTTCGCGCAATCGAGTGGAATAAACTGCGGTATTCAGAAGTCCGGGAAGAGTAGAGCGCGAGTCGCTGACTACAAAAGCGGCAAGAAAGTTGTGGCTAAATTAATACACGGATACATACCGCAAAAGAGCTACTTTGTTCCGAAGAAAGGCTCATTTCTGTAAAAGGTTCTAACGAAAATAAAGAATCTCGATGAAGGTTTCGCAGCGCGAGTCGGCTTTTCACATGGGCTCATATAAACATGGCCTTGTTTACATCATTTGCATCTGTCAAATGCAAGCATGCGCAGTAGCCGTGACACAGCTCCTTTAATATTCCAGATTTACAATGTTTCTAAATGGAGGTTTTCGGTAAAATATTTTCGATATAATTAACAATTATTCTTTGAAATCGAGGTGAATAGTGGCAAAATATTTACCGAGCCGCGAAAGCGGCGAGGTAAATATTCCCAAAGCCACTATTCACCGAGATTGAGAAGAATAATTGTTTTAGTATATACACACGAAGTGATCTCAACAAAATCAGAAAGGAAACCATTCAAAAGTAGGATTTGATTGACAGATCAAATCACGCGTAAGTTTAAAAATAGATCTTTGCAGAATTTTCAAACATGGCAATTCACAAGTTTACTCATTTCGCAAACAACAGCGTAATGGCTTCAATGGAATCGCTAAAAGTTTGAACTGTTTCCTTACCTGAGAAAAAAAGTAGAGCTGTGTTGTTTTCTGTTGACTCGCCAAGTTTATAGCCAAAAGGGCATGTTGTGTCGTTCTTCGCATGAAGTGCTGACAAAAATGGCGGCTCGGTTGCTCGAGGTAAGAGGTCGTCTTCCTGTATCATTCTTTTTCCTGTTTACTTGAAATGTAGAATTTCTGCAAACATTTCCTTTTAAATTTGTTTGTCATAAACAACCTTCGATTTTTGAGCCAAAATTTTCTTCTTAGAAAACGCTGAGTTCACGGGAGTTGTAAACAATCCATCGAGCACAAAACTCCTGCTACAGTAAATTGAAAAACGCCGTATTGAATCCTTCCAAGTCTTTTCTTGCCTTAAAAAAAGTCAGCCCTAGGATTTTGTCGACTTTTAAAAGATCGTTCTCTAAAAAAAACGGGAAAAACACCGAGCTCACACATTATCCACTCGCTAGGAGGTGAATATTGTTGAATAGTCCGAGATAGCGAACCAATCAGATTGCTTAAATCACCAAGATCACTGAGTGTGTATATACTAATTTCGTATATTTTATGGGAAGAGTAGATGTTGGGAAAGGCAAATAGAATCGGAAGTCGTTCGCAGTTAATAAACTTCATTTTTGAGGAAAGTTCCATTTATGGCCGGTTTAAATTTCGATTTTTAATGTTACCCATATCTCAAATGCATGGTTATCTCCTATTTCCTGTTTAGATTTAACAACCAGGAACTCTGAAATTTTACATTGGTTGTATTATAATCCAGTGGAGTCCAACGAAAGGTGCCCGGCGCTCTAGCCAATTCCACAACTCAATCGTGAATTTGCGATGGAAACTAAAGGGGCCAGCCAAATATCCCGTAAACGACCTAATAAACGCTTTTTTCCACATAAACGACTCTTATCTAATTGACACCGCCTCTACGCTCTTAAAATTTGTATTAGACGTCCCCTCTAAACTCCCCCGTATGCGAATTGTACTCTAAAATACTAAGAACTGGGAAAAAGGAGCAAAATCATTTCATGCATTCAGCTTCTTGCTTGATTGACAAGGCTTTGTGTATTTCGTCTTATTGTTCAATGTCAAGTTCAGAGTAAGGATAGACTGACGATGGCAACACAAAAACCCTTAGCGAGGATTCTGACATCGGTGTTGGGATTTGAAAGAGCGATATGGATCTCTTGACGGCCTAGACGTAACAATTGATGGAGTGGATATTCCGCTATTTTAAAGCTAGGCTCTCTTGATAATATATATTTTTTCCGAGAGCATGTTACTTCTACTGTGCTTTTTACAGTTTTGGGAATAAACGCCTCTGTATTTTAAACGCTTCCTATCTATTAAACGCCCTCACTTGGACCCCTTGAATGAAATAGACGCCCCGGGCGTTTATTACATGTAGGTGCTTTACGGTAGCCGCCTGAGATTGCTACGTTCCACAAAAGAGAAACTATGTTTATAAAAAAAAAATAATGATAGTGATGATTTAATCATGACTTTTCAGTGTATCTCCACATTTTATCTTAGGATGACTGTCGATGGATTGGATGCCAAAACAATGGTGCTTGTGTAAAAATAAACGAAGAATATACCTGCGAGTGTGGGGTCCAGTGGATTGGGAAATTTTGCGAAACAAAAAACAGTGAGTATGATTAGAGTTATTTATCCTTAGCCAGTGTGCAAGCTCTTTATTTCAGAATCGATTGCGAGGTAGCGAAGGTTCTTTCACGGCTAGACGGCGCGGGATCTTACATTAGAGAGATTAGAGTTACGTTTGCGGCAAACGGCAAACGTCAGATTCAAATTGTGAATTTCTCAAAATAGGAAACTTGTAGCTAAAAAAACAGTCCAAACAAATTTCTCTGGACAAAACTAACGTGAAGCGACGAATTTTGAGGTGGAACTTAATTAACAGAAAAGTACAAGTTTTAAAAGGTAAAGCTTGACCACGTGGTACAAATTCACTTTTGCCATAAACGTGAGACTAAATCTCTTTAATCTCGTTATTTTCAAATGAGGTGCCTGCTGACAAGCTTTCCATCACTGTTTCGTTGCAGTTTTTGTTTACAACTTTGCTCGGGAAAAGTGCAAGAAAATGAAACGGGTTATCATTGAAAGAACAAGAAACGTTATACTTAAAAAAATTTTCCATTAATTTTGAATGCTGGGGTTTATGTTTTAATAATATTAATCACGTTTGACGCATAATCCTTGTTTTCCAGAAGAAGAAAAAACACCTTTTTTACCTAAATTTAAGCAAATTGATGGTGTCGTATTAGGTTGCCCTTATAGCGGTGATGTTATTGAACGATTTTCGCGTTGCATTTACCATATTCAAAAAGCTACAATTGAAATGATTTTCCCTGGGTTCAAAGGAAGAGTAAAAACAAAATTAATGACAAATGTAATGCACTGAATTTCGAAAGAATGGGTTACTTAACGATCACTTTACTTTTCTCAAGGAATGTATCATAACACACAACTAGCCAGGTCATCCAAAGGCAGGTCTTACAAAAGTAACTGCGAGACGAAATTGGCTCCTGTTTTCAAACATGTTTTGCGTGGTTTTGTAGCTTCATTTGTTTATATCTCATGAAGGGAGAAGAAATCCGGTTGATAGAACATGAAACTGTTTCTTTCCTTTGCCCTCGAAAACACCTTAATAAAATTATAAATCAGAGACTACTAAATTTATAAACAGAAATTAATGATCGGGCAAAGGGTGTCAAGCACCAATATCTGGGATTGACAATAATCCCTTGTGTTTTTATAATGGTAACCTTAATCCTTTAAAAATTGTAACTTAAAAAAAGTGTCGAAACCAATACACCCTTAATTCATGTCGCCTTTTATGAAAAATAAACAGCTGGTTGCATCTTGATGTAGCCTGCTGCATTGCAGCCGTCCCACCGGGCCGTAAAGTTTATTGCGTTACTTCAGCGAGTTACAAATTACAAATGTGAATTCTTCCGCCTCATCATCCGAAATCATCCTACTTCGCTTTTCAAAAACACGCGAATTGTGAAGTTCAAAAGTATTACCCGACCTATTAGAAAACATAATGTTACTTCAAAGGGTTCAAAAAGTGTGATTTGTGATTGGGGGATTTCCATCAATTTTGTGTTTCAGTGTTTCAAGGTTCTTGCTTGTGATCAAAATAACGATTGACGGCAGCGAAAAAAGGAATTGTAAAAGCGGCTTTTGCACTTCAGAATTCGCGTATTTTCGAAAAGCACATGTAAGACAAGTTTTGACAGTTTTGGTTCATTACTAGGGTGGTACAACTTCACGACGCTGAGAGCCACAGGAAAGAATGGTCCACTTAGCGCTGCAGGATATAAAGGCACTTTACTCCAGGAGGTACATGTCCTGAACGGTGTCCAAGAGTGGCAGGTGCCAATCACAGGAAAGTACAGTGTAGAAGCTTGCGGAGCATCGGGAGGGGACGGAATTTTGCCCAAGAAGGGGGGGAAAGGAGCAAAAGTCAGTGGCGTCATAACATTGTCAAAGGGAGATAAGTTAGCCATACTGGTGGGACAAAAGGGGTCAACACAGGAAAAAAGCCACCCAGGAGGTGGGGGTGGGGCAACGTTTGTTTATCGTTCACCGAACAAACATGTCCTTATTCTTGTGGCTGGCTGGGGAGGGGGTGGTGGGAAAGAAGATGGTCTACCTGGGAATGATTCACCGGATGGCAGTGGTTCCGTTGACACGAGAGGTACTAACGGGGGTTGTGGTAAGGTTTGTCGAGATGCAAACTTTATACCAAACTCTGGGGCTGGGGCTGGTTATCTTAATAACGGGGGTTGCCTTGAAGATGGCAAGTATTGTGGGGCAGTGCACTGTAGTAAAGGGGGAATTTCTTTGGGTAAAGGTGGAGAAAGTACCATGAATTGCGATGGTGGGTTCGGCGGGGGAGGAGCTTGTGATAACTTTCCCGGGGGAGGAGGTGGATTTTCAGGGGGTGGAGTAGCAAGTGACAAGGTGGCGGGAGGAGGTGGATCATACAAGCCTGATGATACATGGGAAGTGATAAAAGGAGGCTGTGAAGATGATGGTTACGTTTCCTTTGCCGCAGAAGATTGAATCGGTTGCAATTCAGAAAACTTAGAAATCTCCAATTAACTTTTTCTTTAAGCTTGTCTTAATTTAAATGATGAAACTAAGGCAGCTTGAGCAAGTCTAGGATGATAAAATCTCCATATGATGGAAAATGTTTCGAAATATGCGCTTCTGAAAGCGTTCCCGGGCCTGTGAAAGGCCAATTTGGGCGCGATGTTTTTGTTTTTGCATTTCTAGTATCGTAGGGCGATAAGAATTACGGCTACAAGAATTGAAAGAGATCTATCGAGCTGTCTCCCTCTTTTCTAAGTCCGTCGAGCGAAACGCGCGAGAAACCTCTCGTTTCGCGCGTCTCTTGGCTTCCCCGCTCGACGCTCGCTCACGCATTCACTCTTTTCACTAAATCTGAAGAAAAAGAGAGACTGCTCGCAGTCTAATGAAACTGTGGAGAACAAAATGGCGTACTCCAAACTCATAATTCCTGCTAGTATTAGTTCTGCTAGGACGTGCCCGGATATCCATCCCCCACCGTGCTACAAGTTGGGGCTGGGGTAGCCAGGGCTCCCTTGGATTTTTGACGTGTTGTAAATAATTGCAAACATTAAACTTTTCGTAGATAGCCTGTGACGTGATCTATATGATGATTTCAGTATCATGGGATGACGTTGTTTGGGATATGGATCTGTGTCATTTCTCCAACTGCTAGTTAGTGGTCGTTCCTGTCATGCGGGGCATTGTATGAATGTTTTTAAGACATGAAAGCGAGGCACAAAGCCCCTCTGCTCACTGCAACAAGAAAGTTAGAAAATATTTTCTCTTCTACTTCCCTCCCGTTTTCCTCGAAATTCATCTCCCGGATTGCGGTTGTGCCCTCACCTTTGCTGGGATATTTTTCTTGTCTATCCGGATTTTCCTAGCTTTATATGCTGAAATGAAATAAACGGCCACTCTTGTGGCCAAATTCATCCCAAACTGCGTGGAATTGTCATTATTTGGTATCCCAGCAAACAGATCTCACCGAGAGCAATACCTGACTCAATAATTACTGTCTAAAGAAACATGAAGCAAAGAAACATCTTGCCTTGAAATTACTGTAAATGTGTGTAGGTGAAGGAAGGAAGGAAATATATAAAAGAGGTTTACATTATACCAGGAAAAAGAGATAATTAATTAATTAATTAAAATATATAACAATTAAATTACATTAGATAAACGTTTATAATTTCATTAATAGGGGTGCCTGTATCAGCATAACTATCCTGTCTTTGAAGATCGAGTAATAGTAGCCAGTTGTGTATTTGTTTTCCTAAAAGCGTACTTAACTAGTTTTTCTCAAATTCTCAGGAATACTGTTAGTGACGGTAAAATTTAGGACCAGTCCTTTAGTGCTAACGCCTCCTATAAATGATGCTATTTTAAATTTTTCCAAGAAATTTCCTTATTTTTTGTGAGCATTGCATTTTGCCATACAGTATAGTTTGTCTGTGTGCACCGGGAAAGGGAAGGATAAATATACGAGTCCAATGAAATGCGTCGCTTTGTAAATATAGCCACAGGCTGGGGTTAATTTTATGAAAAAGTAATAATAATAATAATAATAAAAAAAGAGGGTCAAACTATCATCTGCTTCAACTTTAACGAGTGTTTATTTGAGGAAAAAGCTCAGTAATCCCTTTGTCCGAGGCAACAGCGCTCGTGCATGCTCTGATTGTCTCGACTGAGTTAACCCGGCCGGTTGAGCCAAAGTGTTCATATGGAGAAAAGTTGGCCCACCTAGGAAGACGAACCCACCATTGAATGAGCGGGGTGCCCTGATTAGGCCAGGGTAGCTCGGTAGGTGAGTGAACCTCATTCTCCCTAAACGACTAAACATATAGGGTCGGATATTTAAACGAATTCTAAATTGGGCCGCAGTTTAAGAGCGGCCGTCCGTAAATATCGCCTGGGGGCGTGCAAAATGAAAAAATCGAGAATCCCCAAACTTTGTCAGAATATAGCTCTAGGTAAACTATTTCTAGAAAAATAAATTTTAGTTCGATTAGATTTTTCTTTTACGCGTGCGGCGACCGAGTCGGTTCCGGGGCTCACAGGTTGGGTTTCACCGGCTAAAGACAGTGCATTACTTAAAAATCGTTTAAAAATTAAAGAAGAAACAAATTCTGCTTCTGAAAACCTCAATAGTAAGAGTGCAAATTAAATAACATTTTCAATGTGAAATTTTCCTATTCGACAACAAACTGGATATTTTTCAGATTTTTAATTATTTTACCTAATTTGCTGATTTTTGACAGACAAAATATTAACAAAATTCGGACTCAAAAATCACTTCTTGGTATACGGCTTTGAGGCATAACGTTCCTACAGATAGAAAGAGCAAGGTGTCTTCCTCAAATTAATGCAATAAAATTTTTGGGCAATCCAACGGGGAAAATATTCCAGCGCCAAATGAAAGTTGCCCTTGAGGTCAAATTCACGCCACTTTTGTCACGGTATTCCAAGGTGATAAATCAACAAAAATGCTCTTTGGGGCAAAGAATGGCCAAAATCCCCCAAATCTCTTTGCAAAGGAACAATACTTATTATTTTCGACTTATTTGCATCTGTTTCGCCAGTTTTTTACTTGAATGAACCCGTTAACAGTCAAAATCCGTTTGCTGTTCAATGAATTAACAGCCGTGAACGGCACAGATCAACACGTTTCAATACTATCCATTGCTCATTTAAAAAGAACAATTTAGCCCACGTTAGCTTACATAAGGATATATGACTAAATATATTACTTATCTGTCAAAAACTGAAGAGGTATTTGAAATAAAACCGCTAAATACACGTTCTCTTCACATCTGTTGCGGAGCAATAGGACAATGCGTTACACACAGCTGTGGGGACTGGGGAGAGGAATGTCAGTTGTATGGGTGTGGGGTAAGTCAGATTTGTGCTGCACAGTGCAATAAACCCTCCCTGAAACTAAACAATGATCAAAGTGAAAATGATTATAAATCAGGGGGCTGATCAAAAGTATAAGGGACTGACTGCGAAACTTTAGAAACCCGAAAAATATATAGCACCAGGACCAGATACCACATGTGCTGTCTGCTCGAAGAGTAGGAGAGAGAACCTGGGAACGAGGTTGTTGTCTGCTATCTTGGGTTATCTCGTCTGCTGATCTTGAAATATTTACTTTAGGTCTAAAAATGCTTTCAGATAAATCAGATAAGAAAAACTCCACCCTGAAAATTTTTTTCAAAGTAAACGTGTGATAGTTGAGTAATTCTTACAGCCAGTACCAAAGCCACCTTGCTTCCTAGTTGAAGCCAACACTCGTTGAAGTATGGCATCGTGTGGATATTCCACGTTTGTTGGAGGGCCCTGTGGAGCTAGCCCTTCAAATCCTGCAGATGCAACGTGTGTAGCACTAGACAAATGCACAAAAGACGTCAAGTCTCACTTAAACCAATATGACTGCTTTGATTCGTCCTTGAAAACGGAAGCAGATCTTCTTCTAGCAAGAGCAGGTAACTGATTTGCACTGTAAATAAATAAAGCCTTTCCGATAAGTTGATCAAGTTGATGCATTTTTACCGCTTGTTATTATATGCCTTTCGTTTTATCTTATTTTATTCATTAATATTAATTTGTTTATGCGTGGCACCGCAACTCGAAAGACCTCTCAAAGGCAGCAACGTAGTTCCGGAATTTGACTTACTAACTGTTGATACTAACAGCAAACACATTTTGCGATTACCACAGGATTGCTACATGAATTCACTGCGGCTTCTTTTGTACATTTTGTTTCAGGGATTTTCGAAGTCGATGATAATCATATTAAAATGTCGATTTGTCCAGGACATCGAGACGCCTTTGGTATACGATGGCGTAGCGGCAAAAGAACATGTTCCGCTCCAAAAGACTGGGCGGCGCGTAAGAGTAAACAAGTCAAGGGAGATCGGGGTATCACCCTACCACAATGTAAAAGGATCTTTAGGCTCACTTCAGTGTTTGTTCCAGTTCCGTCTCGTAAGTAATAAAGATAATGCTAAGAATTGCACAATCCTCTAGTCCCTGGGAGCTGCGTATGCAGCCGAAAGAAACCCGGCTAGATGTTAAGTCTGGTCTGTGGCGTGGGTTGGGGACTGGTACTTAAAATTTAGAAACAATTAGCTGCCATGAACAAAAAGCTTTATGACCAAATCCTAACTCGATGGGGATCAAATGCATGTCTAAATCAGTGATTAAAACCACATTCGCTGTGTTACAGACACCAACCAAATTTGCAGTGATTATGGAGATTCCACTGCATTATTTCACGAAGGCTGAAATGGATATTCGCAGATTTTATCGCTGAATAAAGAAGATGGGAAATGTACTCATGAGTTGTTATTTTTCTGTTTTAATTTTAGCCATTTGTAAAAAATGTCGGCTGGTGCTTGCATCAGGGGCACCTTCATCCCCGTGTGAAACAAAAGAAGATGCCCCCCCCCTCCAATCGCAAAAGAGAAACGAGACGTCTGCACATCATTTGCTTCATCACCGTCCATTACAAAAGAGGATGTTTCTTTCAAAGTCCAACAAGCAAAGGCAAAGGTCCTGTCAGTTGTTGACACTGACGAAACTGACTCGGTAATATATTATAATCATCAGAATCAGAGACAGGATTTGGAATTGAAACAGTTTTCAAATGGCTCCTTCTTGGAACCTCAACGAAAAAAAACCACATGCACACAAAGAAACAGATGGAGGAAGGAGGATTGTTTTAAATTAGATCTGCAATTTGTTTTGCAGTTCAAAACATGTAGAATTAAATCGATGACTAGATTTTTTTTTTTAAATAAAAGCTACAGTTTTCATCATCTTCATCATTATCATCGGCCCAATCATCATCATTGTCATAATTTTGTATTACTGAGCTAGTCGCTTATAGCTTCTTAACTCCTTATATCATTTTATTATTCTCTTTCTTAATTTGACTTTCTCTTTTCTTCTTTTCTCTTTTATATTTCAGGACAATGAAAGTACATCTGGTTTAAGTCAAGCCATGAAAAACCTCGAACTTGTTTCGTTCGACAGTAGCCCTTACGCTACAGAAAGTACCGGCAGCAGCAGCGGTAATGCGAATGATTCATCAATCGAAAACCAAACGCTTCGTCGCTTAAAGCTGAATGAATTTCTAAGTGTATGTGGCAGGGAAACTGTGAATCAACCGAAAAAAAGTTGGGAGCAACTAAGCACGCGAACTAAAAATGTTGGCGTATCTAAAGCAAAAGATGCTGTCGTTGCGTCGTTAGAGGTCATTTCTCCTGGAAACCCGGCAGCCCTATGGGAAGCAATGAAAAGCTCACAGTCTGTAGAAAAAGCCTTGGGCACAGAAAATCAATCTCCGTTCGATAAGAAGTACCTGGAAGCGTTAGCAGAGACCTATCAGAATGCAAGTAGTTGGGACACCCGCCGACAGGTGTTGTCAATAATGGCTGATTTGACACCGTACTCTGTTTTGCAGCAATTTATTCCTGGCATCACCGACTACAGAATCAAAGTAGCTCGCCAACATTCCATCGAGCATGGACGCGGTGTCCTTTGCCTGCCGCCAAGAGCCCTGGACTCAGGGTAGAGGAAATCCAGCTCGATCATTTTTTAAGCTTCATTACCAGTCCCCACGTGGTCCAAGATCTACCGTTTGGCCAAGGCTACCTGTACCTATCAAACAGCAAGGTACTCGAAACACCTAATGTGATAAGGTCCATGATACCACAGCGCATAATTGATCAGTATAACCAGTTCTGCTTGGAGACGAATTTTTCTCCGTTCAGCCCATCCACAATGTTACGAATATTGTCATCGTGTACCGCTACAGTAAGAAAGTCACTTCAAGGACTAGACTATTTTGCCGCTGAAGGAGCAAAAGCCTTTAACGATTTTCTAAAATTAGTTGCAAGGACTGGAGACAGACAGTGGGTCGCTAGATGCGAGCAAGCTCTGAAAGAGGGAAAACAGTATTTGAAAACGGACTACAAGGTAGATATTTTAGAACCATTTATAATATAAACACTGAAAGGGTAATCACATAAAAGAAATAAATATGCAAAGGCGATCAGTTGAACCCTTAAAGATTATTGTAGCTATGCCTACCTTTTATGTTTAGTTACCCCTTTTATACTATTAAATAAATTTAATTGTATGACCGCAGTAAAAGATGTGTGATAAATCGTGTCTAGTTCTTTGGCCAATCATAGGTTGATGATTTCTTTTTTAAGATGTTGAATTCAAAATTTACCCAGAAATTTCAAAAACACAATGAAGAAATTCTTCTTTGTAGATATAGCTTATTATTTTTGTTCTGACTACTTTCTCGCAGGTTCATATCACCAAAGCATCCAGTATCCCCGACCACTGTAGTGCGTACGCCCTAACTGATACAAAGGAAGAGTGTCTTCGAGAAATGTGTGACCACGCCCACGACAAGAGTTGTCCCTTTTGTGATCGGCTGAAAGACACTTTAAAAGAAATTGAGTTGAATTTGATCGAAGCGAACCTGGATAAAGAAGTAGGTTGAGAACTGTTGTAATTTCAGCATGACCATTCACTAGGCTTAAAAAGATAAGTACACAATACTTTTGAAGTAACGTTTGTTTTAGTGAGATTGAGCATCCATAATTCGCTTCTGAAGTGTTTTGATAAAAAATTCTGAAGGCCTTTCTCTTTTAATATTTTTTTCTTTCGTCATTTAGTTGAAATAGGCCCGCTAGAGGAACCAGTTTTCACACACTGTTCATTTTCCCAAGGAGACTTTCAAGATGTATCTTCATGTGAAAAGAAGAGTCGCCGACAAAAGAGGAAAGTGTTGTTTCCGCTGACCACGAAAGCACGCTCTTTTATTGTCCAGTGGAGGGATGCGTAAGCACCTTTCAGCGCCACTATAATCTTGAACGCCACTTGCATTATGAAAAATGCCAGTTTCTCGAGGAGAAACACAGCCTCTTAGACAAGGCGAAGATGATGTACTTCGAAAAACTCGAAGAAGGTGCCAGTGCACAGCCTTTTGTAGCGGGCTCAGTTGTGGTAGAAAAGAGGGCGGGGCATCTGCTCTCACCGGGTTGGGCCCTACGTTCAACTAAAAAAAGTTCTAGATTCAATTTCAAGCAGAAGAATTACTTAAACGAAAAGTTTAAGATCGGCGAACAAACTGGACATAAAACAGACCCAGAAGACGTGGCTAGAGATATGAGGCACGCAAAAGAAGAAGATGGCAGCCGCATGTTCACACCAGCTGAATTCCTTTCACCTCAGCAAATTAAATCCTATTTTTCAAGAGTTGCAGCGAATTTACGTCAGTCCGAAAGTTGCGATGATGCTGATGAGTGCGATGTTCAAGCCGTTGAAGAGGAAGATGTATACTCTTCTGTGCGCACTCATATAATCCAGGAATGCCAGCTTGTTCATCCAGTCATGTATGACACGTACAATCTGCTTGAAATGTGCGAACAAAGGAAACTGACCAAGCTCAGCGTGTCAATGTTGCGTTTAATATGCTGTTATTTTGATCTGAAGTGCGAAGGTGTTTCACTGAAACGTAAAGCACCTTACGTAAAATTGATTGAGGACCTTGTAAAATCGTGCTCCTGCAACTAATATTATTATTGAAACTTGGGTGTCTGGACTAATACGGAATCATTCACAGCTCCTACTCCTTCCACCTACTCACTCAAATTTCCCACTACAATTATTCCAGTTTAATTGCATAATAACAGATATTTAGCATGTCGATACAAAAATAAAATTAATTAATTACAAAAGGACCCTCTTAAATTAGTCCACTAAAACGCAGGATTGTCTCTCGGCTTGTGCGCCTGCGGAGATAGGGTAGAGCAGTGAGTAGGGATACGGAATTGGGATTATGGATGTTTTCATGTCTTTGATTACTCGCCAGAAAAGGTATAGGGGGAACAAAAGTTTCAGCTAATTAAGAATACGACATATGCCAGGTATCCTTACCTGTGTTTAAACCTTAAATCGCGCAATAGTAAGCTTCCGGTTTGAGGTGCATTACCTGCGCCCCTGTGTCACGCAATTGTGACATTCCGTGAAGTACAAGTACTCGATCGGTAACTCGGCATTGCATAGGATGGAAGCCTGTTTGTTTATATTGAATCAGCTTTAAAATGGGTAGGTGTATAACTAGTTAGTCTCATATAATAAAAGGAACAATTATTGTTTAATCGTGCGTGAAATATTTTAAGTTCTGGAAAACTATGAAGTTTGAAACGTTTCTCAGTCGGGAGCAATAACAAAGAATTTAGATATTGCAAGTCGATCGCAAATGTCACTTGTTAGCAAACGATTTCCAACAAAATGAACAAGAAAAATCATACAGCTACTTAAAAAGCAAACCTTCTTGGCAAATACAAGGCGTTCTGTGCTACAAAGCGCAAAAAATATTTTAAATAACGAGAGTATTGTTGTTTTTGCCCTTTGAATGTCGTGACAAAATGGCGTGTTTTGACCTCAACGATCGCTTTTGTTCGGCGCTCAAAACATTTTGCCTTTTGGATTGCCCAAGAATTTTATTGCATTTATGTGAAGAAGACACCTTTCTCTTTCTATTGGTAGGAAAGCTATGGTCCAAAGCTGTATACCAAGGAGTGATTTTCGAGTCTGAAGTTTTGCTATTTTTTGTCCGTGAAAAATGGGCAAAATAAATAAAATAATTAAAAATCTAAAAAATATTTTATTTGCCGTCGAATAGGAAAATTTTACATCAAAACAATTGTTTAAGTTAAGCTCTTTTTGCTACGATTCCCAGAAGCAGAATTTGTTTCCTCTTTAATTTTTAAACGATTTTTAAGTAATATATGGTCATTAACCCCTGAGAACTGCCGTGTGAGCTTCCGAACCGACTCGGTCGCGGCACGCGTAAAAGAAAAATCTAATCGAACTAAAAGTTATTTTTCTAGAAATAGTTCACCTAGGGCTATATTCTGACAAAGTTTGGGGATTTTCGATTTTTTCATTTTGCACGCCCCCAGGCGATATTTACGGACGGCCGCTCTTAAGAAATCACTGGACCTCCAGATCTCTTCCTTGGTGGGTTAATTCAAGAAGATAAATGTTTTTCTAATTTACACTCTATGCGTTAATAAAACAGTTCACCGCAAATGTTGTTGCTGCGGTGCGAGCCTACGAGAGAGCAGCAACATAATCAGGATTTAAGAGAAATATACAGCTATTTCGAGAGAAGTTGTCGGAAAAATGTGCACACGACAATGCCGAAAGGTGATATGGGATGAGATCAATATATAGTTTTCTGACACTGTAGCTGTCGAACCTACTTTTTTTGGCTTTCCTTTAGCACTCGCAAACATACGTCCATGGCCTCTCGTGCCATTCTTTCAAATCATGTTCTTTCAAGAACAGTGAACTCTAAACTACCCACAATACCATTCGGGATTATCGCGTGCACTTTTTCCGACAACTTTCTCAAAATAACTGTATAAGGAGGGAAGAATTCTCGAATTAATCGCTTTTTGCCAGAATGCATTGCATTTAACCAGACACTGCGCCACTATTTACCAGAATGAATTTCGCCACAAACAACTCAAATAAAAACACGAGGAAGTTCGGTATCGTTCGCTGTTCAGACTCTGAGTTTTCTTTGTGGCAAATTTTCTTCAGCACGGTTAGAGATCTTACCAAATTTGAGATACGCAGGGATCTTTCAGATGAGTACGACGGTTA